CACATACACACACAAACACACAAACACAATGCATGCACACACACACACACACACACACACATGATTGTCATTAATTATCCTGATGAAGGCGACAGTGGTCGCTGAAAATTTGATCCCTGTAAATAGTGTGTTGGAATAAAGTTTAACGTTTTACTATGATTACTACCAACACAGATGAACTTTCATGATAATCTAAGTATTTCCTTGTTACTGTTCAGATTTGTGTCCCGAAAAAAAGAGATGATAAAAGTTAAAGTCATCAGTGTAAAATAGCATTTGCGTATTTGACTGTAAAATTTAAATCAAGTGGATCACAGCATTGTAAATCACAGAGTATGTAATAAACAAGGAAATTGTTACTCTAACAACTGCTGGATAGATCTAAGTACTGTCAGACGTTTTAAGTAGCATGCACTACTTTTTGTCAGTGACTTGTGTATCTCATTACCTGGATGTGTAACCTTTATCAACGTAGGCAGGTAAAAAAGTTTTGTAAAACAGGTAAACTAACATCATGATCAGAACATGCCACTAATATTTTGTGCCTCTTTGTCCATATAGCATCAGAAGGAAGACTAGCTTTCCATAAAGGAGATCCACAACCAGCGTTTTCCACACAACAAGCGTTGGAGAAAGATAATTCAACGATGCCCGGTCCGTATACAAAGAACAAGTTGAGGAACCCATCGAAAACCATACCGATGTGGTACAGTCTGCCTGGCGGACGGTGGATTGTCATCCCGGCGCCCTCTAGCGGCGCGTTGCAAACTCCACGCTCATCACGTCGCCCAAGGCACGCTGGCGGGAGGGGCCAGACGGACAGTACAGGATGGTGTCAACTGATGAACCTGTCATCGGTCAACCAATTAACATCCCCCGTCCTAAGCTGAGGGTCAGGCCAACCGTGGCGTGGGAGAGAAAGATGAACGGAGGGTGGAGAGTCGTGTCCTACCCCGGTGACGACAGAATCCACGTCGGATGGAAGCCTAGTAACGGAGAATGGAAATCTGTCTACTGCACAAAAGAAGAGTTGAACATGATCGTTGTTACAAGCTCATATGACATGTACCTGTATCCCTAACTCACTCTGACTTCACACAACCTCTGTTATAAGTATAACTAGCTGAGTATTGTCTTGTCCTGTATTCGTTCTCTGCGTTGGTGGCGGCATGAAATAAGTTGATATAACTTGAGTGAGCTGTCACCATGTCTAGTCATGAAATGCTGGAATATAAATAAAACTAGCTCGACATTCTTCTATTGTGAGTGGGTTATGGATTTGAATATATTTTTCTTAATCAAAGTATCTGCAACAAGTAGTCATCTTTTTTTTTTTCTTTTTCTCCATTTTTGTGATGAAGCTTCGGCGAATATTCAGTGTTCTTGTTGTTCCTGGTACTGGTACTTACTACCAGTTTGTCGAATTGCTTATCGTTATGAACATAACCCAACAATCAGCGTTCATAAATGTTTAATGTTACTGAGTTGGCGGTATTTACAAAAAAATTCTGTGCTCATTCACCCACAATTGCTGAGACTTCTCACATGACTGAATTGCCGTCACAACAGTCAGTTTATTCGCTCATTGTCACGAAACGCATCTACAGTATGCATTCCATGGTGTATTAAATAAATCATTATAGACTAGTATTCACTGCAATCGAAGTGCATCTCCTGCAAACTCGCCAAACACTATGCTGCTTGTGTACTTCGTCACAAAGTATGCGCCTGTTTTCCATGTCACATGTCTGCAATTGTATGTGTAATACACGTGTTTTCAAATATCAAAACAATGTAAAATTTCATCACGTACAGTGCTTTTTAACACAATATGTAGATTGTCCTCCTGGTCATTCCATGTCACTGCATTCTACATCATTACAATGCACTATCATCAGGTGGAAAAAGAGAACATTACACGAGTCACATAGCAACCGACAGTTATTTATAGGATAATTACGATAGGTATGACAGGTACACAATGTGTCACCCTGATCGTTTTTGTGTCATTGAGTTTTACTTAGTGTTAATGGACTGCAAACCCAAACGTTAACGTAGAGATGGACAATGAAGAACGTTTTGTACCTCGTCAACTAAATAATATCTTGGCCCTATGAGGCATAGCATCACGCGAAATCTCTGCATGGATCGGTGGATGGAAGTGGTGGTGAATTCTGTGCGACATAACATAATTTTCAGAATGCACGCCGGGTAAAGCTGGATACGGTGTATAGATATGACTGCACTTCATCCTTGGATTGTTTTGGTGATATTGGGATTTCACTGTCAACGCGCTCTTTCAGGTGAGTCTTTTCTGTTTCCATGAATTTGTAATAGTATATATGTGGTGTGGGGTCGTGTCGTGTGGCATAACGGCATCGTGTTCGGCTCGGAACCAAGAGGCCCCGAGTTCGCCGAGTTCGAATCCTGCTATGCCACCGATATTGTGCCCTTGCAATTGGGAAAGGCACTTTACACGAATTTCCACACTTAACCCAGGTGAAAATGAGTACATGTATGTCTGTTGTTCGTGCGTTTGTCTGTGTTGGTGGTGGTGGTATATATGCATATAAAGATAAGTTGAAAAAAGTGTGCCGTCTCCATGTTCTTGTGATTAATGTTGGAATAGAAGAAAAGAAGTATGTGTATCCATGTCGTCGAATCACCGCGTGGCTAGGCTAGCGGACATGAGAACTGAGAAGTTCGATACAGGGTGCTTATAATCATCATCCACTGTGTTCTGCGTCTACACTACAGTCGTGTGGATATGTCCTGTAGCTGCATTCAGTCTTTCTTCATCTCTTTCCACCGTGTCTCGCGAGCTCTCTAAGCTCCTTGAGTTTCTTTTCTGTTGTGGGAGGGCCTAGCCCTCTGCGCTTCAGGTCTCCCTTCAGTAAGCTGAGTAGGTTATATATATCCTATATATATCCAGCACCATAAACATTGTAACACATCAGATACAAAATATGCCTAGAATTAAGATGCCTATTTTTTACTGTGTAAAATATAATCGGCATGTGGTAAAAAATATTGAATACACGTAGACACTAACACTGATCATTCATTTTCATACAGTTTATCCATTCGACCAGTTCCTACTATTTAACAACTGGGCTATCCTGGGTAATGACGATGACATCCTCGGTTCTGTGACAGAAGAGCAATGCCTCCTGGCGTGTCTTCAGGGAACTGCAAGGGTTCTAATCGGCACGTGTCGATCTGTTGACTACGATCGGAATCTCAACGTGTGCTATCTTTCAAGGAACTACAAAGTTTTGGTTCCTTCGTCATATAGCAATCTACTAGGATTCAATCACCACCAGAGGCGTAAGTACCTGTTCTATTTTTGGCGACGCCTCAGGGGCGGAGGTATTTGTGTACTACGATCGCTCTAAAAGAATTTCAAAAATTGCACGAATGCATTCCCCAGGGAATTGCTTTTGGGGGTAGCCTTCGGCCATGTGCAGTCTTTGGACCGAGAAGTAAGGCCTTTGCTTCTTTTTGCACGAGAATAGCTGTCTTTACTGATCTTGATGTTTCAAATGTTTGCTTTTTCCTATATTTGTTGATAAGACAGAACTAGGAGCAATATATTCAAGCTTGATCTTTCAAATATTTTTTCTTTCAATCAATATATCGCCGTGTGATCACATGTGAACACAATTATATCTTAGAGCTTACAAATTAGTATAACTAGTTAGCATATTCGATATTGATGTAGTATGTCCTGTTTTGCGTGTGATTGATTTCCTAAATAGACTATCAAGATACTACGTGATTTAACGAAACTGAAAATCGAGAAGGGTGGAGAACACTAGTTGTCAAGATCTTCTGTTGTACCTCAACGTTAAAATAATCAGACTAAGGTTAGATGGGATGATCCATTGGTGTTTTGTGATGTGAATGAGGTGCGTGCGTTGTTTTTGTCATTCTTTTATTTATTTTCTTATTCTTTTGAATTTTATTTTCTGTCCAGTGTGATGTCCAGAGTGATAATTTCATATCAACAAATCACATATTGTCTTCAAAAGATAATCTTGTACGTAAGGCTTTGCTCTAATCATATAGGGTTACCATAACCCTAATTTAGGGTTATGCAAACCCTGATTAAGGGAGAGAGGTAAACTAACTGAGCTACTATGTGGATATAATCACTTGAAATCCAGGCTCTCAATTAGCTGACGGGACCTAGCAGTGCTCTAAATTAAGAGGGCACACTCCAGTTTATTTGGCGTTTCTATTCGAAGCTGCACACCCTCAAGTCCAGCAAGCTCTGCCGTGGAATAATTCGGAAGGAGAATAACTGTATATGGGACGAAATGATATCTCTTCAGCTACAAGACCAACTGAGCTTTGTTTCCTCAACCTCTTTAATGTTGGTAAAATCAACAGAAAAAAAATTATTTTCACTCCAAAATGTATGCAAAAAGTTGGGAATATTCATGTAGAATAATTCCATAGAAGTAAAATTTTCCGGCAGAAAAGACTGATGCTGGCAGAAAGACCAAAACCTTGGCTGTACCCAAGTCAATGATGAAGAAATTCCTAGTACTCTAATTTTTTTTAATCGTCCAAGGCGCGAAGGATTGCGTATCGACTATCAGAAAGCCGCAGCGCGAAATCTGGGTCAAACGGACGGATTACACTTGGCGCGCAAGAATACCCAAAAGTTAAATTTCCACATCAAAATCACAATTTCTTATACTCTTCGCAAGTGTTAATGTTGAATGATATTTAGTGGCAAATTATGTAAAAAGTCACCTAAAAATTTGACCCTCAAAACCCTTTCGTCATTTTCTTAACGCGGACTATCACGGACCCCTGTCGCGGAAGAATAATTACGCTAACCCTAATTTAGGGTTAGCTAACCCTAATTTAGGGTTATTTAACCGTAATCAGGTTTTGTAACCCTAATTTAGGGTTAGTTAACCCTAATTTCATAAAAAAAATGTTACAGAGATCAAATTTTTAAAGACCACCAACGAACTGTCGCCTTCATCAGGATCACCAATCACTTAAAAACGTAATCTCGCGAGAGTTACGGTTACAGACACGTGACCTTATTCTTACGAGACTTTACGGATACGTCACGTTAGCAATTTTGCCATCAAAAAGGGCCATTTTTGTTGCTAAAAACTTTCTGACGACCTTTCCACAGTTATTGATGAGTGTGCAGGGTCTACCCACGGCTGCTCCCATGGGTGTGTGGATGAGTTGGATGGGTTCCACTGTGCTTGTCCGACGGGCTTGGTAATGGGCCAGGACACACGAAATTGTATCGGTAAGACGGAAAATAAGTATTATTAATAATTTTGTACTTATTGTAGATTATATATGGTTATATCGCTTGGGTCAGCACAGACAGACTCAGCTGGCGATGGCTGACCCACAAAAACTACAAAAGTAATAAAAACTAATATTAAGTACATCAAAGTTTAAGATACAATGCATACTTAGTCTAGTATTCTGCAATAAGTGTGGTACGTACAATTCTTGAGAATATCTCACAATATTATATATATGGAGAGATAAAGAAATTGATTCACCCCTTCCCTTTCAATTTTGACCATTTCAGTTTTTTTGTTTTGTTTTTTTTTTGTTTGTTTTTGTTTGGTTACTTCTTCCAATGTTGTTTAATACAGTTTGATATAGCTGTGGGCCTGAACACTCATCGCCTTATTATTCAATAAGTATTTATCTAATGATGACACACATTTTCATTTTAGATGTCGATGAATGTAGCCAAAATCGTGGAGGGTGTGGAGTGACCGAGGACTGTGTGAACGTCTTTGGTTCCTTCTACTGTGCTTGTCCTGGTGGAAGTCCCTACCTGGTGGATAGCTCCACATGTTCAGGTATTATTTACAGTCTATGTTTGTACTGCTACTAGTAGTAGTAGTTTTACTAGTCTAGAAAGCTTCAACATTGTGGCATCTTTGTTTGCGTACTATATACAAGTATAAAGATGTCAACAAAATACAAGACACTCGAAGACACCACGGCTACTACTCAACAGGCCTCCCAAATACGGAAATTAGGGAAGTAAATGTAGTCATCATCATTAGCTGTACTTTACATGTTGACGTGCACCAACATTTTATCAAATGAAGCACTTTTCTGAACTGAAAAAAATAACACCACTATACTTTCAGGTACAAGACAAGTACTAAACGTTTGTGAACCCCAGAGATGATCTGATGCCATAACTTACATCTCAACATTACATTTTGTTTATTACCTTCGCCAAGAAGGTTATGTTTTCAGTAGCGTTTGTCTGTGTGTGTGTGTGTTTGTGTGTGTGTGGTTTAGCAAGATAACTCGAGAAGCAGTAAATGGATTGGAATGAAACTTGGTAGGTGGGTAGGTCTTTATGAGACCTAGAAATGATTAGATTTTGGTCCTAGGTACTGCAGCTGAACTTCCGGTTTTGATATCTCATGTTCTGGACATGCTAGGGTCACGAATTTTGGTTGGTAGATAGCTCTTGGGGCAGGGAAGAAGTGACATGAGTTTGGATCCCCTAGCGCCTTGTTCTGGAACTGCAGGAGCATTTGTTGAAAAAAATTTCAAGGACGATAACTCAAGAACCGGTTGACGTATTGTTGTGATTTTCGGTATGTAGGTAGTTGAAGTGATGCTTGACATAATCAGATGACAATTATGCAAATCAGGAGCTAATTTGCATAATTAATGAGGAAATTCTATAAATCTGCTTTGTTCGATAATAGAACTATGCAACACTTGTGACATCTACTTGAGAACGAGAAAAACATCTGAGGATATAGATTATGTAAATGAGGACCTAATTTGCATAATTATTGGCAAATTCTTATAATTCCATAGTTGTAACTGCTGCACCCCGAATTTCATACTTGCCACATTTGGAAGTTAAGTGAAGGTGAACATCAATAAACATAATTTATTCAAAGCATGACCTCATTTGCATAATTTATGAGGAAGTGCTATAATAGCCTTTTTGTTATGGCTGTCATTTGTTAAGGCTGTCATTGGATGGAGAATATGATCAACTGATATAATCCATGCAGATGAGGCTCTTATTTACAAAATCAATGATTAACATTTATAATTCTTCGCCCGCAAGGGTTAACATCATTTGGCGAAGGTATGAGATCGTGGAACTCTTGTTGTTTTTTTGTTTGTTTCTTTCTTTCGATTTACCATGATTAATAACAATGGAGGAGACAGGTAGTTGGAATCGCCGTCACGAGTTGTATTATCTCTTCCATTTCAGCCTGCCAGCACAGAGACACAGACAATCTGGATGCTGTATACCTGTGGGACCTTCCGCCCATCACATCTCCGTATGTAGTAAAGGTTAAAGCCAACAATCCGGTCTACATGGCTTTGTCCAGCGAGAATACAGACACAGACTCCATGGTTCAAATTACCATCGGCCCAGTAAGCAGCATCGGTCAAGGAACAGACCTCACGACGGCTGCCACCCCGAGTAAGTAATGACTTACATATACTTACTCGTCTTTTGTTACTATTTTATTTCTAAAAAGGCTTTAAACACTAAAATGTGAATCCACATAGTTCTATCGAATTATCGTCATTTCAGAGACATTCCACATTGCCAACATGAATTCAAAAATTTTCCGTTCACATACTTCGTACACCTGTTGAGTGACTGTTTATTGCACTCTACTCTACATTTCCCAATGACATACGCATTTTATTGTGTTAACAAAATATTATCTACATTTCAAATGTACACTTTACTTAATTGAGATTGCAATTTTACGTTAAATTACCTTGTCAAGTTTTAATCAACATTAAAATGTAGTATTGAATACAAAGTTTTACGGTGCCAAGCCATGTAAATATAACAAAAATCAGATTGAAAGTCTGCTGGCTGTACAATAAAGATCCAATACAACTCATGAACTTCGAAATTCGTTAACGTGTTTTGTAGATGTCCTACCGAGTGCGAGGTACCGAGTGTTCTGGATCTCCTGGTCGGTAGATGGAACTGTCTCAGTGAGGGCCCGTAGACAGAGTCTACCCTTCCTACAGATGACAACCCCGGGACTGACGCCGAGTCCTGTCAGCTACATCGGCTACCACGCCGGAGCTGATGGTGTGGCAGACTGGGAGTTTTGTTACGGTACTCTCAAAACTAAGTATTTCACATGCAGTAGAATATAATGGGACGTAGGTCTCTATTTTACAGGGTTTGTTTTCACATAATGTTGACACACACTATAATTGGAAATTGTATTTCTTCCTGTTGCGGCACTTGTACGACTCTTTCGCCACCATGTCTGCCTCTGTCTTTGTTGCCTAGAAAGGTAACATTTGCAAGCAACTGCATAATGTTTACTTTTGCATATGGTCTGCTCTGGTAACTCTTTCTCAAACACATTCATATACTTAGTATATGGTCAGACAGGTGTCTAAATCGCTCCTGCTATAAAATTGCAACATTTAGAAGAAGAGGAAAAGCAAAACAATTTAATTTTAGAGAAATCAGTATCAAAGTGTGGTTTGCTATGATACTAAAAGTATTTGTGCTAATCCTGTCAAAAACTTCTACTTCAGTGAACGGCGACTGGTCGGAGTGGGGTAGCTGGACTCCGTGTGACGCCGCCTGTGGTTTCGGTATGAAGGCGCGGACCCGGACCTGTACTAACCCGCTACCCGTACACGTGCTGGGCGGTACCTGCATCGGGCCAGCGGCAGGGTCACTCATGTGTTACGTACCCGGGGTGTGCTCAGGTATGGGGGATTCTGGTTTGGATGTATCTTACAGATGAATTATGAAATAAAGACTAAACTTTAACATACAGATATTATTTAAACATAAAGGACATTAAACATTAAACTCTTCCAATGTCAACAGACCATACATACGATAAAATAAACATGATGTTGATTTTTTTTCCTATGAATCAAATACGATTTTTCTTAATCATTCTCTATCCACACAGATAGCGATTCTGGGCTGCAGGTATCTATATTTCTTATATCTTTTAACACTATGCAAATGTTTTTGGATCAATTTGTTTTTAACTACATCATCTTTCACTCTACGAGGGAGCGGTTGTCCTATGTGCCCGTCACCATTACCTCGAGTCTTCGCTTTCATAGGTTCCTAAAAACCTGTGAATTCCAATTTCAGCTTCTCATGAATAAAGGATGGTTGAAAAAATGTAGACGAGTTTTGTGTATTGGGTTTGATTCTTTTTACTGTTCACCACTTTCAGGGTTTATTCGAACCTGGCGAGGCTAACGTCAGCTGGGCGGACTGGCAGGCAAACTGGAAGAGTGGAAAATTCCTCCCGTCTGGGTACGACTCGTCCGAGGCGCCTAATGAGATAGGTCAGTTCCACATTCTGTACAGCAATATTAGATAACATTTAGTTATTTGTGATCCAGTTAGATTAATTAGTAGTTAGATAGAATCAACTGTCAGTGGCTTTTAATGTTATTATGTTTAAATGGGCAGCTAACACAGAGTTATAAAACACACAAGAAAACAACAATTTTTACTAAGGAGAAATGAATTTGAACATGCTTTTGTTTTCATTAATATTGGCCGTCGTTTCACCATTTGCATTAATTCATTCTAGGAGGAATGGACGTTGCATCGACTGTCCACATCCTCAACATTGGCTCTCTGTCAGAGAAACATGCGGTAAGGAATTCTAATTAGGGTGCCATCCAAATCCTGTATATGTATTGGGGACCATTTCTCATTGCAAGAAATAATCCTTTAAAAGAACTTCATGCATGCTATCTGAGTATATCTGTGTTGGTTTCACTTTATCTCATAATTCTTTACAGAATATATCTATCAGAGTGCAGTACGTGTTATCGTGGATTGACAGCCGTCTGTTCGGGCTGGCCCCCTCCTGGGTTCCCGTGCCGCCGACCTTACTCTGGTCCCCGCCGCTGGCCTTCGGGCAGTCCGTCCGCGCGGCTGCCGCAGAGGAGGAGGGGGACAACTCCATGTGGCTGGACCCACGCGGACTTATTGTCTACAAAATAACGTACATATCATTTGTGTAATATGTGTATATTGTGTATAATATGTCTTTTTGCTCTTTCACGGATGGAAATGACAGATGAAAGGGCCATCTGTAAAATTGTCATTATCTTAATTTTGTCATATTTTCTATTATCCACACAAACTTGCGCATGCCTCGTTCATATTTTCTCTTTCCATCATGTTCCAGACGTCGTCTGAGAGTGAGCTGCGTAGCCGAGCTGGACAGATATCCACTGGATACACAGGTCTGCAAAGTGGCTCTGCTGGGATGTAAGTTATCATCTGTTTTCAATTTCTGAATGACAATCATTTCTATATTCTGCTCCGGAATTTTTTCAGTAACGCCCTTACCGTCATTGCGACAAATGCTTCTAAAAATTACTGTGGACATTGAGATCGTTGATCTTGAGTTATTATTTATGAGTTTGCCCCGTGTATAAGCAGTAAAAGCCATGTATTTATTCATCTAGATAATGGAATAAGGCTTCGGCTACAGCCGTCCGTAAAAGTCGCCCGTGCACCTATGAAAGCCGACGCTACAGGAGTGACGCCACAGTTCACGTTTATTGAGGTGGAAGAGAGCGCGACGTTTCAATCATTCATTGGCAATAATGAAACAGGTTCGTAGCCATCACACACACAGACACACAGATACACAGACACACACGCGCGCGCGCGCACACACACAAACACACACACACACACAATGCATGCACACACACACACACACACAAACACACAAACACAATGCATGCACACACACACACACAAACACACACAAACACAATGATGCAACACACACAAACCAAATCCACACACACACCACACACACACACACACACACACACACAAACACAATGCATACACACACACACACAAACACAATGCATGCACACACACACACACACACACACACACACACACACACACACACACACACACACACACACACACACACACACTATTACGAGTCCGAAATATGCCATACCCTCGCCACAAAGAACTAAACAGGGAACACGGGTGCATGTAGGATACAGTCTATATTTCGTACACTGCCAAATTTATCATAATGATGATTGCTTTATTTCAAAACACAAATCACAATTATGTACAAATACAGCGCCATCACTTGGCAGCCTCTAAGGCTGAATTGTGTGATTTAAAGCGTTAGACAGTGAAGTAAAATCCTGATAGTCATACCAGTGTATTAAAAACAGCCATTAAATCATATCATTAAAATGATACATTTCACAGATTATTCATGATTTAAAATGTGAACAAGGTACGTACAGTAATGTACTGATTCATTCACACACGAACGAATACGCAACGTTATATGTATACTGAATTTCAATATTTTGTTTCTTCACGTGTTTCAGGTGCGGGCTGTGAGTTCTTCCACCAAGTGTGTGATTACCTGCTGGAGCCATGTATGACGTCACTCTCAGACACATGCGAGGCGGAGAACTGTGACAACTGCAGGCTCGTACTGGGAACGTGTCAATACAACATGGCCTCCTGTCATAACTACATCAACGGTAATTACTGAATGAATTATTTCATGAATCACTTAAGTAGTTCGAAAGTAAAGGTATTTCAGTAGTTATGGATGTTGTTCAATAAACATGAAGTTTTAAGAGCAGATATCAACAATTTAGTTGGGTGCACATGGGGGGGGGACCAACTAGGGGCCCGGGGGGCCAAAATTTAACAATTTCGAGGATTCATCAAGACCTACCAGGTTTTATGACAATCCATGCAAAGCTTCATAAGTTATCTTGCTAAACCACAGACATACAACACTATGAAACAAGTTTGAACTGTAATGGCCAACACACAAAATATTGGAATCATTCAAAATTTCGACTGTACAACTCCAGTCTTTGTCAAGGAATGACTGGAGTTGTACAGTCAAAAATTTGAGTCCAATAGTTTGTGTGTTGGCCATTACAGTTCAAACGTGTTTCATAACGAATTCTACCAACACAGCTGCGAACTTTCACGATAATACATATCATTAAACACATACAAGTTACGGAAAAATAACCTTCTTGGTGATGATAACAAACATTTTCATTGTTTTCTAGACACTAGTGCGTTCACATCGCTGGAGCTGCGCATGCGCCTCCGTAGAGTCACGTGGCGGTACATCCTGACGGCCTACCTCCCGTCCGTGGTTATCGTTGTGACGTCATATCTACAAATATGGCTGTCACCTGAGCAGTCCACCATATCCGGACGGGTTGCGCTGGGCACTATGGCAGTGTTGTCGATGGTCGCTCAGACTGGCAAAACAGCCCGAATGCCTTGGGTAACTAGCTTTGTTGTTATGATCTAAATAAAACTAGAAAGATAACATTTGCAAGGCAAATGCATAATGTTTACCTTCGCATATGGTCTGCTTTGTTAATTTTTACTCAAACACATATATATGATCAGACAGGAGTCTAAATCCCTCCTGCTATAAAATTGCAACATGATGTAACCCAACACAAATCACCATGGTAACAGACACAACATTGGTTCAGGTCATTGAGGTCACTGTTTGGAGAAAAAGAAGAAGGAGAAATGTAGCAAAAACAATATGTTATCCGTCGGTAAACATAATAAGACAAAAGACCCCAGAGGCACCACAAAAGCTAAAGCACTTTCAACCATGGTAATATGCTTTATAAAGACATAACATGCTTCCAAATGCCAGTTTAAGTCAGAATATTGTATTTTTTTTTTCTTTTGTAGGTAGAAAGACCGAGGGCCATAGACATCTGGATGCTGGGATGTTTATCTTTTGTGACCGTGGCCCTGCTGGAAACGGCTGTTGTGAACTACATATCTACATATTTACAAGACAAGGTATTGGTTAGCCGTAAATAATTTCATCAGGATTGTGAATATCAAAGTTCTTTATTCACAACAACTTGAAAACGATTGTGAATAAATAACTTTGATATTTCATTTTTTGGCGAATATAACTTCCTAAAGCCGTTTTTAGCGAATTGTTTATTTTGATTTGTAACATTTATAGAAGAGATGGTGTCCAGGCTAAGTATTGTAGCGTGCTTCATTGACCTCTGTATCTTCTTAATTTCAGGAACAGATGAAGATTCGCCAAGAACAGAGAGGCAAAGAGCTGAACCCTCCCATCAGGATTCCACGGCCGGGGCTGAGAGACCCAACAACACCAGCTAGTGGCCAGCATGAGCTGCGAAGAAGCAGCATTTCAACAGGAGATACCCACGTGTCCATCCCCAGGGCACGACTCCAGGTCCCACCCGGCGTCTGTTGGCACCAACTCCCGGACAAGGAATGGGTGATCGTCCTTAAAAAGAAAGCCAAGACCAACAGCGAAAATGCCGGTGACAAGGGTGAAGGACGAAGAAAAAGTGACGGAAATTCGGTAGTTTCTTACATCCCAGATTCATGTATTTCGAGCAGTGATTACGAAGACTTTCCCGACTTTGATCCTAGAGCATTCAAACCCAGCGCAGCTGAAAGGGCAGACAGTCTGGCAAAGAGGGTAGACTCGTGCGCAAGGGTGATTTTTCCGGTGATTTTTATGGTGTTCAATATCGCATACTGGATTGTTTACCGACATTAAACACCCTCGTCCAGTTACGTGACCTGCGTTGACCTCTACAGCCTCCTGGTCACATGACTATCAGCTTACCAGCTGAAGAAAAATGGTGGAAAGTTTCTTTTCTTCCTTTCTCAGTCGTGTATGTCAGTTTAATTCATTTTTTTTACTATAAATGCTAGTAGCTTTAACGTTGTATATTGCGCATGCATGCTTTGACTGCGTCACAAACATGTATATGACCATGAAAGAAAACAAGTTCACAACATTAAGTATTCATGACAAAATTATTTATTTTTCAAGCAGATTTTGAACATCTTTAACATTTAGGAGTTAACACCAAGATCCAAGCTGTCTATGTATTTCTGTAGATGATATAGACGTTGTAAATAACAATACAAAGGCTATCATCTGAGATAAACTGTGTGATAATAATACAATGAATAGTTAGTAATACATAGATCTTTTAAAACCAATTGAAAGTCTGGTTTCTATGCTATGACTTGGGTTGCACAAAACTGATAAAACAGATATACAGTATGCATGTACTTATAAGATGCAAAGTATACTATATAGGCTCAACGCAGAATACCTATCACTATGTCAACAATATTAATAAACATACGTTTTTAATATATGTCAAGTCATAGATTTACCTGTTACCTCTTTAGTTGCGGATACGTGACGAAGACTTCTACCTTTAGCATTACAAGTATGTATCGCCCGGCATAAGAACACTTTTGATAAATATCAAAATACATACCAATGATTAGGTCTCGTTATCGATAGCAAATAGTTTCCATTAACTTCTTTGATTGCAAATTAAAGTGTCTGGTAGTTCGATTCGTTTCAAGAGATGCTAACTAATGCAGAAACACATACCAATAAACGACATTGAACGACAACAGTGCACACATAAGAAGTACTCTCGTGACCTTGTCTATTTTCAACGCCAGGACCTCTGCTCTTTGCTCTGCACTCGGCCCGATGGACCTGGCGTTGAACGCAGGCACATGTCTGTACTGAGTTGTCCATGCTGCTGCATGTGGAACGTAGGTGACAACCGCACTGTCGTTACAACTGTCATTAGTGTGTGGTAAAAGTGTACTTCGTACTTCAGACTTGGGAACGAATTTCTTTTGAGACGATTTTAATTTGTCTTGTTTAAGAACGACGACCCATTCTTTGGTGGGTAGTTCGTGCCACCTGCATGGACCAGGGGTGCGCAGGCGCGCTCGAGGAATGGCCTGGAAAGTAGTATAGTGGGAGGCTTGAGACAGCGTGCTGTCGGGCAGGTTTTCCCCGGGAGATTTCAGTCCGGGCCGCGGTATCAGAATAGATGGATTCCTTCTCCTCTTCTGTTCCTCCCTGTCGATCTCTTTTTGCTCCTACAAAGTAGGTTGTTCAGACGTTCTTCATTAGTTATTGTGCATGGTTGAAAAGGATGAATTTAAACTGTGAGCCTTTCTTCTTTCATGAGAAACTCAAATCTGCGTTCAGACCACTTTTCATTGAGACCATGAGAAAAGAGGTAAGGATGAGACAAAATAAGAAAAGTATTACATCTATGCACATATTATGTATAAATTACATGGCACAAACTACATTTACACAAGTGTGAGAAATGCTACATGGTTTCTATGTGATTTCTGTGTGCGCATTACACGCCATACACGTTTCTTATTACCTGGTAATGACTGATACTGTATGTGCATTCGGGAATACTTAACAGTATGTACCTTTTCCTGTATGTAAGTTGAGACGAAGTGAACTACAGCTGTCTCTACGAGCGCCGCAATCACAAGAGAGGAACACCCCAACATCCAGATGTCCATGGCTCTGGGTTTGTCTACCTAAGAAGTAAAGATAAATTGCACATTGCTTTCACAGTGGTCAGAATCGTATGTGAAACGCACTCAGTTCGCTCGTACATCTTGAACCTAAAGCCATTGCCCATTTTAACATTATAATTAGAATTTGTCACTTAATCAACGGCTCATTCTCAGTTCTAAAATGTCGAAGCTAAACTCAAATTTGGATGAACCATTCACTGCCTCTGTGGGTTGCAATGCATGTCCGGCATCAAATTTATCTGATCATAATGAAAATTTGGATGGTCGGGAAAAAGGACTGACAAGACGTGAATCCCTTAATACAAGAATCACAACAACATGTGATGTACCTACCCACGGCATTTGTACAGTTTTCCCCGCCTGTATTATCATGGACAGGACTGCGGTAGTGCCCAGAACAACCCTAGCGGAGACTGTGGATAGTGTAAGCGGCAGCCATGTTTGTAAGAAGGCGGCCAGCACGACGACAGTAGACGGGAGGTAGTATGTGAGGATGTACCGCCACAGGACTCTTCTGAGCCGGACATCCACCTCCAACCAAGTGGTTGCGCCTGTGTCTGAAAAAAAGTAACGAATCGTAACGAAACGTAACGCTGCAAATCAATTTAGTTCTCTTAGTCTTTTGATTTAATCAATACCTAATGAAGCCATCTTAATCGACGACGCTCGGATCAATAGACCAATCACGAAGCCCCGCCCACCTCCGTCAAAACATAGAAATGCAAATATTTGACGGAGATAAAGATACTCTCTCATTGGTCGAACCGATAATTGCCCTTTTCTTATTGGTTGAACTTCTAATTGTGATGGACATTCGGGATCGGTCTATCAACGCTCACTGCAGCAGCAACTCTTCAGAGACAGTAGTCGTAGTCAGGCTTAACTTGACTGGCTCAATTTGAGAAGCAGCTACAAACTTAAGGCTGAAAAAGATTTACAAAGGCTGCTCGGAAAATTCCCTAAGCTAATTTAGGCCGGAATCATCTGATCCACTCACTTTGGGAAGGACCCCTACTCTTTCTGATAAGCGGGTTCGTGCTCGAGGTGTGGCTCTCCCCAAACACGAGACCTCCATTTAAAGTCCTATCCGAGGGACGTCTCTAACCGAAGCTATCAAGATAGGTACTCATGATCATTTCCACCTGAGCTAAGTGAAGTGAGGAAATGTTAATTGCCTTTCCCAAGGACACAAGATTGGTGAAATGGCAGGATTAGAACCAGGGACCTCTTGGTTCTGTCTTTGCGCCACAGGGCCACATACAAGCATCTAGTTCAGCCAATCCGAAAAAAGTTGAATGTAGACTTCAACAATCAGTAACTGACAGAGATGTCAAAACTTAATATCGTAGCATGAGGTACGCATGTAGTTCCTTTATTTCCTGAAATGATAGAATATGGCAAAATCATTACCGTTAATGTATTGAGCACAGGACTGAAGTTGATTTTTACAGTCACCGATGACAAGACCACAGTCAGCACAGTCAGTTCCTTCACATGTGTCTGCCAGTGACGTCATACACGGTTCCATGTGGTAGTCACAGGTCTGGTGGAAGAACCGGCAATCTGGGGAACACAGACAACTGGTGATATCAGGTAGCATGACACGTACAGTATGATAGTTGTCAAGCACACGCACACGTACACGCAAGCATGCGTTCACATTCAAGCATACACGTTCACACACAAGAACACCATTTCACACTAAAGAACGCACTCAAGCATACTTTCACACACACACACACACACACACACACACACACACACACACACACACACACACACACACACACACACGCACACACACACACACACACACACACACACACATGCACAGATGCACATGATTGTGCATTCTCTATATACGCATACACCTCCATATTTAAACCAACGATCCATTGAATAGAGAGTCACTAGAAAACCACACATTTCTAAGAGCAAAGCCCTATGTCATACATAATTTAGTTTAGTTAAAATGTGTTTAACTGACCTGTGGCGTTCTCACGGAAAGACTTGAAGCCAGCCTTCTGCTCAGCCCCCACCAGTATAAACTGCGACCGGATCCCCCTGGCGTCTACCTTGATAGGTGCACTCTGGGCTTGCCGGGACGACTGCAGTCGGAGCCGTATTCCGTTATCTGGAAGATAAAAAAGTTCTTTTGTTACTTCGAGAAAATTCTTTTGTTTCTTCCTACTATAAACGGTGGTTTAGTATGGGAACAGACGCACCAGGAACATGAATAATGTTCAGTATTAGACAGGGATGGTGTTTTCAGTACCAAGGACAGGGATGGTGTTTCCAGTACCAGGGACAGGGATGGTGTTTTCAGTACCAGGGACAGGGATGATGTTTTCGGTACCAGGGACAGGGATGGTGTTTTCAGTACCAGGGACAGGGATGGTCTTTTCAGTACCAGGGACAGGGATGGTCTTTTCAGTACCAGGGGCAGTAATTATGTTTTCAGTACCAAAGATAGTGTTGTCAGGGACAGGGACAATTTCCGAGACTTCATACCTCCATGAAATATGATCTTGATATGTAAATGTAAATTTCTTCTTTAATTGTTCAAATGACCTCTGCATTAACATGATATATGCATCGTGATGTATGTTAACTTTTGATTAACTTACAGATGTCCCAAATATGACATTCTCATCATTCACCATTACGAAATCATAGAATTTTCACATTAATTATGCAAATTAGGTCATCATTTGCATAATTAGTATCTGTTGAAGTTCCGCCTGCCATAGGTTACATAGTATAATGTAAAACACTGTAATTATAGAATTTCCTCATTAATTATGCAAATAAAGTCCTCATTTGCATAATTTACATTTAATTATGTACATCTCTCTCTCAGCTACCTACACACCAAAAATAATAGAAAATATAGTTGTTCCTGTCTGGACTTATTGGCTTTTAAACATTTCACCAGAAAGTGCCCTGCAGTTCCAGAACAAGCCGCTAGGGGGCCCAAACTCATATGACTTCTTCCCAAGCACGAGAGCTACCTTCCATCAAAATGACCCTAGCATGTCCAGATCGTGAGATATCAAAACCGGAAGTTGCGCTGCAGTACCAAGGGAAGCCACTAGGGGGACCAAAATCTCATCATTTCCAGTTTTCGTCACACCCTACCAACACACCAAGTATGAAACCCATCCATCCAGGCGTTCTTGAGTTATCTTGTTGACCAACAGACAGACGGACGGACAGATAAACGCAACTGAAAATATAACCTCCATGACACATTTCATGGAGGTAATTAACCATTCACTTACACACTTACATGCATGTAACACCACCCGGCAGACTTGTGTGTCTAGTGGATACCTCTCCAGCCTGGCCACACAGCTGACCGTCAGTACACGTCTGTCCGTAAATATGGAAAAACACTACCATCATCCGTAATTATATAGCATACATATTCAACATAATAGCTGATGATCAAGTAATTTAAGAAATATATGCTCCCTTGCATTGCATTTTTCTCTCGAAGTGTCACTGCAAGTGATCAATTCTTCGTCTTTGAAGTTCAGATAATGATAATGAGATACACAAGGAAGGGGTACTGACGAAAAGTAGTACAGTCATTCTATACTTGAAACGTCTGGCAGTTTTCAAAATTTATCCAGTTGGTTGAGTAACAAATTCCCTCCTGCTACAAAATTGCAACATGATGATGTAACCCAACACTAGTTACCATGGTGACGTGGCAGACGTGTGGTGCAGGTCATTGACCTTATTTGCTTGGAGAAGAAGAGGAAACAGAGCAAAAACAATGTGTTATCCTTCGGTAAACATAATCATATCTGATGCGTACGTCATCTTGTAGGTGACCATTCCCCGCGGGTCCATCCACATGGCGGTGTCCCCCTCCTCCTCCGCGATGACCCGGCGGACGGACTGGCCGAAGCCGAGCGGCGGGGACCAGACCAGGGCCGGCGGCACGGGAACCCAGGACTGCGCGATGCCGAAAAGTCGGTAATCCGCCCAGGACAACGTGTACTGGATCCTGACGGATATGTTCTGAAATAAAGATAAAGTTGTGTTTGTTTGTTTTTTGGTGCAATGGCCAATTTGTTTTGAGTACTCGCTTTGCATTCGGTAGATTGCGAGTTCGATCACCGGCCGCGTCATACCAAAGACTAGCCCACCGCTGTAGTGATTGCACAACTGTGTGGCCGAAGAGCTACTGAACCGGAGATGGGCGCCGCCCTATGCCCCACATGGTGCGGTAAGGACTTTATGGGATTTTTTAAAATCATAATCCAGGGATTGCCATCTGGCAATGGCTGTCGACATTATGTACAATTCACTTTGCAGCGTGCTATACACAGGTAAATAATACAATAGGGTATTTTGTGAAAAGAGCACAGTTAAAATGGCCATCACCATGCCTATGGCTCTAATTATCTGGATTATTTGGAGCAATTCCTTTAGCAATTAAAGGACTGAAGAGGTCCATGTTCAGCATTAGATATTTATGAACAAATCGTATTCTTACCGCGTTCTTTTCTGACAGAGTGCCGATGTTAAGAATGTAGACAGAGGAGGAAACGTCCATCCCTCCTAAACGCGACGAAAATATCATGTTATAGAACTGTCAATGTTTTGTTACGCCTTGGAGGGGTAGCTGTGACAAGTTTTGATATGGTCATCGACAGTTATAAATACACGTGGCATACCATTCGCTTCCATTAATTTTGCAAAAAAAATTTCTTGATACCAAAACATATATACTACTGCATATACCATCTAATGCATAGCATAAAATAACATAACACATTATAACATAACATAGCATAGCATACCATAACATAACATACCATAACATAACATAACAATGATAGTACAGACCTATCTCTTTCGGTGCTGTAGTGGAGTCATAATCAGGCGGTAGAAACTTGCCGGTTTTCCACTTCTCCTGCCAGTCAGGCCAGCTCACGTTCGTCTCCGATACATCAAACTACGGTACAAACAATGTCGGCTGAGCTTAAGCGTGGTTTCAGTAACGAGTTAAATTCGATTTAAGTTAGGCCACGTTAGAACTCAGTACATACGTACAGTGTAGATTCATAAATTCCGCAAAAAGCCGGCATGTCCCGGCTTGTCGTATACGTCGCTATGTAATGCGGCAAATTCACAATATCAGCTTTGTATTCCTGTGGTTTAGTAGCATTTTTATTTATTCGCCCGCGCACTAGTTTGGGGGTCTTCATTATATATATATATAGACTGGTTTATTTGCAGAAACACATACTTCATACATACATAGTACAGTAGGTTATAAGCTTTTTGCAGCCAAAGGCTGAATTGAGAAGCTTTTACAAGTTTTTAAGAACTACATGACTAATACATAATGTATATACATAAAAAGTGCCTTGAGAGGCATTAAACACCACTTATGCGCTAGAATAATGCACATTTATGCTAAAATTACATCATACAACTTCTGTTGGCAAATTACTTCAGAGGATGTCATCGGTAAAATTAAGTCGGTGTGGCCTTACAGCATAAAAAACAATGCTAAAAAGATTTTACCTGAAATCCTGCGTCTTCGGCTGCATTTGAAAGAAGGAATATAAAATTATAATAAGGAACATTGTTTCTCCATCTAAGACAATCACTTAATAATCCTGGCCATACTTTCCGTAATTGGCACTATATAATACATAGTTATACGGGAATAACATTGTACTGGACTATACTAAAATCAGTTATTTCACCACAAAAAGATCATAAGCCTAACAATGACTCTTTGTGTGAGGAAAAAGTAGTTGAGCTCCAGATTTTTAATCACATTTATGTCACACATACTCTTCAATTTAGTTTTATTCAAAGTACAATAATTAGTTTATATAATTGCACCATTCTAACATGTAAGTACTTACTCAATAGTTTGTATTGTTCCTGGTTAACGAAAGCTACGTACCTGAGCAGCCTGGGGGGACGTAACAAAGATTCCCGCCCTCTGACTGCCCCTCACACGGCTTGCCCAGGGGAGGGATGGGCGGAGGGCTGTCACACACACGCCGGCGTGTTTGAAAGTCGAAACCACAGGATGAAGAACAGGCGGACCAACTTCCCCACGCACCCCACTGTCCATTGGCTGAAACATCGGCAAGTCAAAGGATTTTTTAATGTACTCTGCTTTCTTGGAGACAAGGCTCTTGACATTTACCTATTCTGTAATATTCTGTATGTTTTTACAATATCAATAATGTACACGTCATAACTTTTTTTTTGCATTTTGGGGGCAAGAATCACTAGAAAGCCATGGGTTTATTGTTAATTTTTGTCACACTGAGCTAAGTACAGGTCACAAGAAAACATGATGAACATTATACAGTTTACAGATACAAATTAAAACTAACAATCATTAGATGCATTTAACTTCTCCTACTGTCAAGTTATGATAAAAGCTAAAAGTACAGATGTGTTTTTTGAAGGATGTTCTCCCTTTTATTTTTCCTGTTTCCTACGTCCTAATCGAGAACTAAGGAGAAAGAGAGAGGGAGAGAGAGGAGAGGGAGAGGAAGAGAAGGAGAAAGGAGGACAGAGGGAGAGAAGGAGAGAGGAAGAGAGAGAGAGGGAGATAAAGAAAGAAAGAAAAAGAGAGGGAGAGAGAGAGAAAGAGAGAGGAAGAGGGAGAGGAGAGAGAGAGAGAAAGAGAGAAGAGAGAAAGAGAGAGAGAGAGGGGGAGAGGGAGAGTGGGAGTACCTTCACAAAATTGCCAGTCTCCAGGATTACCGAACCCGGTGGAATACCCGAAGTAGCTGACCGGCAGAGGCTCGGGATCAGTCCACTCTAGAAAAGGTTGGTCATCGGTGTGACGCTGGATGGTGATCCTTCCATCGGGAGACCAGGTGATCCAAAATCCTCGATATTCAGTTGGAGACAGGAGGCCTTTGACAGGGCGAAAAAATAGATGCATTATTTCTAAAAGTCTAGAGTAGTTATCATTATCTTTGAATATGGAATTCCTTTGTCATTTAGTCCATGTGATACTTGAAATAGATTTTGTCAGATGGGCATTAAACGGGTAAAGTCATCCTACGCAATTTCAGTGCGGCAAAACTGGATTTTCAAATTCGATTTTCTGGTCATTCTTTAAATATATTAAGTTGAATCAATCCTATCCCACAGCATACTGATATCTGTGGGGCAGAAAAAATGTGATTCTACCGTTAAAAAAACGGTTGCTTGTCTTGTATCGTAGGCTGGCTCTATCTATGTATGGACGGTACCCCAAAATAAAGTGACGACTCATGTATATTGTTTTATGGCTATTTCAAACACTTCAAGAATGAAATGATGACAAAGCTCCAAAATGTGCTAAGGAATGGCAGTAAATGTCAATATCATATTTCCCAACCAGAATATTGTTTTTTTACTAGCCTGAAATTGGATGCCTTTAAAACATAATACAAAAATCAGGTATATATTATTCTCTAAAGGAAAAAAATCATAATGCCATAAAATGTCACCCACCTCCAGTGGCAAGACTGATCATGTTTACGCCCTGTGCTCCCCTGCGAATGGCGCTCCTGGCGTTGCCCCAACCGCCGATGACAAGTTCATACATGGGATACAGGACTGTCAGGAAGTTATTGCTGTTTGCCAGCGCAATGTGCACGTCGCTCGGAGCTCTCACCAGGAAAAAGTACGGTGAAGTGGCGGGCGGCAAATCCCAGTTGTATATGTAGAGGATGCCTGTTGTCTTTCCGGTACATGCCAAATCTTTAACATCAACAGGTGAACAGAATTATGAATCGAGTTTAAAAACTGTAATGTCCAACACAAGAAAATGGACTCACCCAAATTTTCGACTGTACAACTCCAAGGAATGAACAATCCACCGCTTCCGTGACGCGTGATAACACACGTGATAACACACGTGATAACACACGTGATAACACACGTGATAACACACGTGATAACACACGTGATAACACACGTGACTCCGTGAGCAGTGGAAAATTTGGGTGAGTCCATTTTATTGTGTTACAGTTTAAACTCGATTCATAATGACTTCTACCAACACAGATGAACTGTCAAGATAAGGTGTACAGAATCATTATTCAAATAGGTTGGGAAGCCATATCTTAGCAGATGTTATCCATATGATAATCCTACTAAATTCATGTATTGTCTTGTACGTAGGTTAATTTTCTTGTACCCACGTATCTATCTGTATGTCTACATGCAGTTTCAGACCTTACGAAAGTCGCTGTACCTTTGTTGTGTCCATTAAGTTTTCTCTATTAAACAGATAAAGAGCATTTTGTTTTCAATTTTCAGTTACAAAGAGATCTATAATTTGGTATCAGCCCAGTGGGCATTGTTCAACGCATAGCAGCGTTAACAACGCATGATGTTCGAATGAGGACACACGTGCAATTTCTAATCATGTAATAGTATCTGCGTTGACAAATCATAAATCAAGTCTTTCTGGAAGTCCATGTATCGTCTGCATCATCTTTCATACACTTAAAGCTACATTATGTAACATTTACGACAATACAAATTTTCTCGCCATGTCTTTCAAAAGGTTGAATCAACCCTACTCCAGTGAAAGTACATATCAGTGCCATTCAGGAAGTGGAAGCATAGTTAAAAGCTGAAACACAGCTGTCAGCCAAGTTTGTTTACATTCTGGTAATTTGTGGTGCCACCAAAAACTGAATGCGTGTTATGTGAGCTGATTTAGCGACGCCAACCATCAATGTTAAGTATGTGAAATAATTGCACAAATATGTTGAAAATTAGAAGTAACGTATTACTATATAATCACATGAATATTTTTTAAATTAAAATAATTTGGTGCAAAATTGTTTTAAAAAGGCCCTTTAAACAAATAAACAATACCACAAACGGGGACGTCACAATATGCCCATCTCTGTGCGGGGTCCGAGGTGTAGCACCACACCGCGGTATCGCCGGACGGATTGCGGCAGTAGTTCTGCTGCAGTCCGGATGAGGGGTAGGCGGTAGGCGTGTAGCTGTGCTGGTGAGGTGTCTGACTGCCCCACGACTGACACGTCTTGTTCGCGACCGTCATGGAAACCAGTCCACGGTAGGATGTCCCGTCCAGCATCTGGCATTCTTGCGCTTTAGAAGCAAGAAATGATCCATATTCATGTCCATTTGATTTTGTTTGTTTGTTTCGCATAACCGGTAAACCGGTTATTTTTAGGCGTAACACACCAGTTTTGTACATGTAAGTACAAGCTGCGTAAGACTAGACTGTACAGGTTTGAACCACTCACACCGAGAAGGACCCCTACTCTTTTCGATAAGTGCGGTGGGTTCCCAAACACTGGACCTCCATTTAACGTCCTATCCGAGGGACGTCCCTGACCGAAGCTAGGTAATCATTTACACATGAGTGAAGTGAGGAAAGTCGTGTAAAATGCCTTTCCCAAGGGTACAAGATCGGTGGCATTGGGTAGGATTTGAACCCGGGACCTCTTGGATCTGAGCCGAACACTCTACCGTTTCGCCACACGACCCCATATGATGCACATTGTAATACTTTTTTCTCACAAATGTTTTCTCGAGCTCATATTCTAGCAAATAAAAGAAAAAAAACTCGTGCACCTAGTACCTATCAGTTTATGTAGTTTGCGTGACAAGTTGACCATATATCATGTATCAATAACTTTCCAAATGATATGACATGAATGGCTAGGGCCAAGTAATGTGATGGCCAAAACTAAATGACCTGTATACATGCCTAGATTTGTTCACATCTGAGATGAAGATGTCTTCTCCAGCGTATACCAAATGCTTTTAGGTAATATCGACTACATAATGCTACATGCTCTTATTTTCATTTTTTCAATAATTTAGTAGTAAAAATTTTGTCACAGAATGACATTTATGAAATAGATAGTGAATTCCGTTCTCGGTGGTCAGGCCATTATTCTTATGCATTTGAAAACGCATCTGTAACTTATATTTAGTGATAATAAAGTGTTGTCGTGCTGAAATGATGATAACGCTAGCTATTTTATACAATTTATCATGATATAATAGGCCATGTCCACAACAGCATGTCCACCCAAATGAAAGCCTAACGATAATTCATCTTGACTGTATCTTTATCAAATATCTGAACCATTCTATTACATAATATGTGTATAATTATCAAGTGTACAATACATACCTGGCAGTGCGTAGACATGTTGACAATAAAGTAGAAGTAGCAGTGACCAAACTGCACGAAACCCTCCTGTCATTTCCAGGCCGTTCTTCCTACACCGTCTGATGTTACCGTCACTCAGATACAGAAGAGAGGGGGGCATAATACAAGCTTACAAATACAAGATTATGACCAAAAGAGGGAGGGTGGAACCTGAGGATTTTTATGAGACAAGGGAGACGGAGAAAACCAGGGTTAAACTGAAAGTTCCGCTAGCAAAGTCTACAGTGAGGCGACAGTCATTCGCTGTAGCTGCCGCTGGAGTAAATACCGATGGTGTAAACTTCTTCAAAACAAGACTGGATAAACGTTGGGATAAGGAGAAATACGAAGAGTGAGAGGAGGGTGTTAACAACAGGCAGACTGTCTCCTAACACTGAGGGATTCTCAAGGTATATTCTCTCAAGGTATCTTCCACAGTGGCTCGCAAAGCATTGTGCGTTACTTACTAACAGGTGCCTGCATCTAATCAAATATTCAGGAGAGGCAGACGAAGGTGCAGTGTACAATAGACCTATGGTTACCGTACAAAGCGGTGTAAATAAGACATGGTTGAGGTAATTTGGGCTGACAGCTAGCTCCATCGATGTGTGACCTTAGCACGTCAAAGGGTAACCGAGCCGGGGTCAAACATTCGCGCGTGCCAAGTTTGTGGGGTCATGTGGCGTAGCGGAAGAGTGCTCGACTCGACACCAAGAGGTCCCGGGTTCGAGTTCTGACATGCCACCGATATTGTGCCATTGGGAATGGCACTTAACACGACTTTCCTCACTTCGCTCAGGTGAAAATAAGCAGTGTATAGTCCTCTGTGTTGTTGGCGGTATTAATATAAGTTGAAAAAACTTGAGTGTGCCGTCACCACGTTTTGTAAAACACCACGACTTGTAAAAAGACAACAGGCAACAAGAAATGTTTGATACGATCAGATAAAGCTTTATTCAGAAGTGTTGGTTATGTCGGCTGTGACAAATACTTTATACTGTCTATTCAAATACTTTTAAGTCACCAATTAAATAACCGAGCGTTTTCCTAATACCATGCATGACGATCTACTGAATTAAACTGCAAATGGCAAAATAGTGAAGAAAAAATTAGTACACTCAACGCTATACATAGTTCAATTGTTGTTCGTACAATTGATTTGGATTCCAAAGACGGAAGAAGGCTAAGATTTAGTGTTGTGTAATGTACACGTGTAGACATTAGTATTGATAAAAGGTCCAGTACCCAATGTTGAATATGAGAAAAATGGCGGGTAGTATGGCCCTGGCATATCGGTCTGTTTTTCCCGCCATGCTGTCGGCCCGTTCGGCTGCACTCGGCCCGACGGTTCTGGCGTCAAAAGCCGGGACGTTTGTGTACATGGTGTGTGACGTCATCGTGGGAGGGGTGTACGACACGGTCGGACTGTCGGCGTGGTCTCGCGACTTCCAGACGTTGTCGTCTTCCTTCTTGAGATCAGTGCCATTCTCTTTGATCACAATCACCCATTCCTTATTATCCGCCATTTGGTGCCACTTTAGCCAGGAAGGATTGTACAAACGTGCACGAGGGATGGATATCGGTTGGCTGAAGAGCGTACCGTTGTTCTGTAGGTGTTCGGGCGGCCTGTGAGTCCACCCCGAGGGATCCCTCAGTCCGGGCCGGGGGATTTGGACAGGAGGGTTCCGTTCTCTCTCCAGCTCCTCTGCACGGATTTCTTTCTTCTCCTGAAAAGAAGATGATTTGATACACACATCATATTACCTTTCTGCTTGGCTATATGACTCATACACCTTCATATTACCTAATTCATTGCACACATGCGGCGCATTCTGTACTTGACATTCTAAAATGTATTTTCAAACAGCTATACCTGTTCAAAAGGAATTCTGTTAAAATATTCATGGACATAGAATCATGATTTTGCTTGGGAAATCCAAGAGAAATAAATCGTGATGTAAAGTATAAAGTAACTCGAATCTAAATACCTTTTCCTGCATGGACAAGGACAGAAAGTGTGCTACAGCGGTCTCCAGAAGTACCACAATCACAAAGGACAGACATCCCAACATCCAGATGTCAATTGCCCTTGGTTCATCAACCTATCAAACAATAATTTAAAAAATTGACATAATATCGTTGTTTTTTTAATACACAATCTGGTTGTTCATTATACAAGAAAGATAAAGATAAACTGGAAAGAAAAATGTCCAGACTATGCCTGAAGTACAAAATGACTAATAAACCGGTGAACGTACCAACTACTAAGTACCTAATACCAGGTTTGTTTTGAATATGTTTACATTTGGGAGAACTACTAAGTACAAGACATGCTCGTATATGAACTGCTCAGGGTCAAAGATTCAAATATACTTACCCAAGGCATGCGCGCAGTCTTCCCCATCTGTTTGATCATCGTCAGTACTGACATGACACCGAGAACGATCCTGGGAGAAATGGCGGCCTGTGTGGGCGACAGCCATGTCTGTAGATAAGAGGCGGAAACCACGACGGTGGACGGGAGGTAGGCAGTCAGGATGTACCGCCACAGGACTCTTCGGAGTCGGACGTGCACTTCCAGGGACGTGAACGCACTGGTGTCTGGAACAATAAGAGGCAATCGGCAGGTACGTTTGTTAGTTACAGAGGTGAACTTGCAGTGTTTGATGACGTGAAAATATACTAGCAGTTTCATATTAAACACTGTGAGTGGTAGGGAGCATGCAATGTGTCCTTGTGATAACCAAAACGTGGATAACTGTTGTGTTGAACTCCTATGCATATAGTTGAATGGATGAATGTACGAATTAATTAATTAATTAATTAATTAATCAATTTATTAATTAATGAAGACCTTTATTGTACACATACAGCTACTGGGTTTTATAAAGTAAAGGTCACAACAGAAGAATAGTACTATACAGATAACGTTACATATATACATTGCCAAGTAACTACAACTAAGTGAATTCGACAAGGCAAGATATGGTTTATAATCAAAGGTTATTAGAAATATACCTTTGTATATTTATTGCTTAGGTGTATGAAGCAAGTGAACACGGGCTGTATAATGCTATAAAGTTTCTCTTTTACACTCAATTACAGAATACTGTGGCATTTATATGTTCTAAAGAAAGACATCACTGGGCAGCGATAGTACATTTTTTTAAGTTTTTTTAATGGATATTTCAATATAGTCTGTACAATGTACATGTGAGCTACAAAGTCCTTGTCTTCCTTTCAATATTGCGTGCTACGGATAGCTAAACTTTGCCGAATAATACAATCGCTACCATTGAGATAACGTGGACAGGTCTGCAGTTGATGTAGACAGTCCCCGATGATGAGGTAACAGTGGCCACAGCCGGACCCAGCTGTACACTCGTCTGAAAGTGACGTCATGCACTCCTCCAAACGGTAGTCACAGTCCTGCTCGAGGTAAACGCACTCGTCTGAACCTAAAGGAAGGAAAATATGAAGAATAACATTAGAAATACACATCTGAAACTTAGCGGTTATGAAGCAAATATACAGATTTCGTAAATATACAACCGCATACCAGTAAGGTATCAGGCCATCGCCAAGGACCAGTGAGGGGAGGCCATGTTGATTTGATTAAATAAATGGCATCCGCGCGCGCATGAATTTTTGTCCATTTAAAAAAAAAAGGTTTCGACCATACTGTAAATCGTCCAAAGCAGCAGCAACTTAAATGGGCAAATATATGCCGTAAATTGCAGTGATGCCGTAGAATGTTAAAATCAGTCTCATAGAAAAAGAAGAAAATGTTAAGAAATAAAAGAATCGGACTTTTATTCGACATACCATACTCTGTATGTTCAGTCATTTGTTCAACCTTAATGACCACGTGGATTTTATAATGAAGGCAACTTTTTCTGCCCATTTTTTTTATTCACACGCTCGCATTATTTTGGGGGTTCCCAGAGGATGTCACACATATAATCGAATCAACAATGGGGACAAACTAACTCGTGCCGTTAGTGATGAATGACTTGAAGACCGCCCGTTCTTCCACTCCGATGAACGTGAACTGTGACACCACTCCTGTAGCGTCACTTTTGATGGGGGCCCGTTTGGGTAATGTAGACGGCTGCAGACGGTACCGTATGCCGTTGTCTTCAAAAGAAAACAAATCACATCAACTAAAACATTCACAAAATAAAAAGATTCAACCTCTTGTGTTGCGCTGTGATGTGTTGCGTCAATCGGAATATAAATATAAACTAAAAAAGGTAACATTTGCAAAACAAATGCATAATGTTTACCTTCAGATGTTCTATCCTAACAAACTTATGTTCTATTTATTGTTACTCAAACACATTCATATACTAGTGATACTCGTATATTGAAGCAGCCCTTCCAGCTCTGCCCATGTAACCCAGCACCACAGGCTGTCTGCTACAGTACCTGTTACCATGGTGACAGACGTCTGGTCCAGGTCATTTTGACTTTACTTGTTTTGAGAAGAAGAGGAAGAAGACGAGGAAGAATGAACAGAGCATAAAATGTTTTCCTTCTGCAAGGGTAAACATAATTATCTTACTGATGAGTTTATCAACCACTATCGTGCATGATTCATATTTTTTATATACTCACATCCAAGCAGAGCCACAGAACAGACCTGAGTGTCGAGAGGATACCTCGCCAATTTGGCCACACAGGTCACTTGTAGCAGACGGCTGGAAAATGGAATCATATTACAACATTTAAAGAGTTCATTGGTATGCAGTAGTACAGTAATGAAATACATTGACAAACTGTGTGTACATGTATTCAGCGGTAAGCTTGCGTCAATGAATGCATATCTATTACATAGCTCACTAAATGTTTGTCATTGCCAGAACTTGAACAACAACAAACTCACACCACCTACTACAACCAGGTTGTGATTCTAGTCAAAAAGTCCAGTCAAAACCTACGTTATCTGAAGAATGATCAGTCCATCTTGGTTAATCCACATCTTGTTGTCATCGTCTTCCTCTGTGCTGGCCCGGCGGACCGTCCGTCCGAACGCGAGCGGCGGGGACCAGAGTAGGGCGGGCGGGACCAGGACCCACCCCGGTGCCAGGCCAAACAGACGGGGATCGTACCAGCACAGCACGTACTGGACTCTCATGGAGATTCTCTGGGACAGTATACATCCACATCAATGAAAATATGTTTGCCTGTTCCCTGGCTCATATACAGCCAAACGCTTCCATAGGTTATTCTATGGAATTTTCTGTTTAAAATGTGTTGAAGACGTAATACAATGTTTGCTTCAAAGGTAATACGACATTTTGACAGGTTGCACTCAAATCATAAACCATGCAATACCGAGCAACGTATCTATGCAAACTACAATGCCTTGGTGATTCTTTTATACAATTATGGCTGTCAAGTTTAAAACAAGCTTAACACAATTTGTTAGGGTTTTAAAAATTGAAAGGTTTGGATAATGAAAACATAAAGTTTACAGCATGTTCTTCCGAATGAGCGCTGATGTTGAGAACGTAGACAGTCGAGGCGACGTCCATTCCTCCTGCAATAATTTGCAAAAATCATAGACACAATTATTTTGATGAGTAAAGGATATTTCTAGTTATAGACATTTGTAACATATGTAAATTAGTGGAGTAGAATGTGTTTCAAAGTTATCTACTGACAGAGTAACTATAGACGCATAGCTTAAACACAGTCATGAAAAGACACAAAGTGATAATTGTACAAAAATGTACAATACAAACCAGGCTCAGCCGGCGCTTCAGAAGAGTCGTAGTCCAGAGGCAGAAACTTGCCAGATTCCCAGTTGTTTTTCCAGATAGGCCAGGTCATGTTGGGACTGCCCTCACCAGGGTCGAACAAACCCTATATATGATAATCGGTTAAAGGTGTGGGTCAATACTCTGCAAATAGTAATAAAAACGTTAAAAAGTTAAAGTCCTTCCCACACTAGGTGGTGCATAGGGCGGCGCACATCTCCGGTTCAATAGCCCTTGGGCCACACAGTTGTGCAAACACTACAGCAGCGGCTACAGCGCTAAGTAGGAAAAACTAGTTGAAGGGAAATCTAAATTTATGATATTTCTATACACATAGTTGGACATAAACAGCGAGAGTATGATGTAAAAAAATAGGCATGAAACAAAATAGAAATTAAAATTGAATAATAAAGGGTTAATGCACCGCCCCGAGGTGTATATGGTGTCATAAATGCATGGTCAGCTGCTATAACCACCGAATAAACCACCGAGTGAGCGAAGCGAACGAGGTGGTTTATGAGGTGGTTATAGCAGCTGACCATGCATTTATGACACCATATACACCGAGGAAAAGGCGGTGCATTAACGTTATTATCATTTAGCCTATCCAAACTGACACAATGAATCAACACAATTCCTGTTCAAAACATTAAACCTTTAATATTTACATAACAATACATTCCAAAATATTATAATCATGGTTTGTACTTTAAAATAAATATGGAGATCATTTTACAATAAATATAGTTTACAACTTTACACTTTAGAATTGTTTCTTTTGCAGCATTGCAACTGGCAACAGATCATTTTACAAGATTCTCCGAACAGCATGGCAACAAACAATCATGCTGTTTTGTTTCTTAAACTTTAAGTTAAAGTGGAAGTAACATGGTACGTTAAAGTTCACATAACCGCTAAAAACATGCGACAACTGAGACATACATGTAGACTGCATATCGTAAAACCATTAAACCATCTAATGCAGCCAGCATGGTAACAAAGCATGTTGCGTAAGTACTTGCACTGAAGTTGATAGTAACTGTCTGATTCTCTGAACAGCATGGCAACAAACAATCATACTGTTTTGTTAATTAAAGTGGAAGTAACATGGTCCGTTAAACTTCACATGGCCGCTAAAACATGCGACAACTAGGACATACATGTAGACTGCATTTAACCATTTAACCATCTACTTGAAGTGGAAGTAACATGGTCCGTTAAAGTTCACATGGCCGCTAAAAACATGCGACAACTGAGACATACATGT